TCCACTTTACCTATAATATGTTTCATTACAGGTCATCAGTCCAATGAAAAGAGTTAAAGTTGTAGGAGAAGTTGATAGCATCAAACCATTCCATGCTTCAATCCAAAACGAGATCGATGACGCACCAGGAATGTCAGCTGAACTAGCTGTTGATTGTGAAAAGAAGACATTCGACTTCCAAGCCAAATATGATCCAAGTAAGTACCATAGACCAGAAAGGGAGTGATAGGTATCGTTTCAAATACCAACGCATCTTTAATCTTTTGTGCGACGTGTATACGATTCTCTCATCTGGCAAAAATAATCTCTATTATGATCAAGGTTATGCCATTTTCAGTATAAACTTATGGTCATTTAAATTTGTTACTTATACATGTAGACCTTCTACATTCTTAATAGTTATTGCTTCGTCCTCTTTCTCCGTCTTCATTAGCACACATGGTGCAGAAAAGTAGGACGTAAAACTCCATTCATTTCATTTCATTTCCGTCTTAACTCTGTTTCAGGCGATCTTTCCAACACCTTATATATCGAAGGCCGATATCCCAATAGAAGTGCTATCCGAGCTGAAGTTTACACTATCAAACAAGGTAGAAGAATCAGTGAGAGTATCATGGGAATCAGATTGAACACTTCCAGAATCATTCACACTAAAGTTACATGGAGACCAGAAATTTCTCAGGAAATCCAGGTTAGTTGGTTAAATCGTGATTTGATTTCGGGGAAAAAGGGTTTGATTCTACCATATGTACAGGTTTAGGATGAAACAAATACTTCATTGAGAAATTGGAATAAGAGGTCTGGAATCGTTGGGTATTTTTCTTCTGTTCTGATAAAATAATATGTCGCCCAATGATAAAAAATGGAACAATCTTACAATTTGGAAAATTTTAAAGTTGATTAAAGGGATGAAATAGTTGCACGACATTCTACTCTTGGTCATTTCGAACAGTTTTACCAGATCAATGGAGTTTTGAATTATGATTCTTACTATTTTTAAGATTTTGTCACGTTATCATAATGAAATTTAATATGTACATATTCCAGGCTTTAGCTGGTAAAGGCTACAGATCCATGATGAGAGAGATGATGGTAATGGACAAAAAAATCAGCGAGGAACTCACAACAAAATACTCCAAAATAGCTGATGCTACTGTCGAGGAATTGATGCCATTCATTGCAATGATTGATCGTGAATTAACTGACCTCGGAAAAGACATGGAAATCGTCGCCACTGAAATGAGACGAATGTACGGACGAAATGACCTGTTTATCAGAGATATGGGTGAATATGTACAAGGAAAATATTTAGAAGCACAGTAAGTCATTTAAATCTTAGCATATCAGTTCTCAAACCACTTAATAGAAATAGGTTTGACGCGGCAGTTGATTTTAGCATTAAAACGCCTTAATATGCTCAAAGCGAAACTTACGGAATTCTTTCTCGACTGAGCTATCCCACTGCCTTGGTGTAAAAAAGCGATATACAAATACGGTGGAATAAGACGCATGAGTGTATAACGTACTGTACTGCTCATTTATTCGCGTACTGGATCAGTAAGCGGTTTTTAACATTAAAGAGCAATATTAACATTACGCCTGAGTTAGTTTGTAAAAACCTTTCTGGCACCACAAAAAAAGAATTGTGTCCAAATCGAATCAAACTTGTGACGTCATTAGTATTGAGTTCAATGTTTGGATATTCTATAATCTGAGCTGTAATCGGAAGGATGTCAGATTCAAATATTAAGGCTCACCCTCACAGACTATATAATACGACCTCTGTTTTTCAGTGTCAGTTTTAGGCGTTTAATTGAACAATACAAGACAATGGCAGCCATCATGGTTCAAGATCTAACCACAATGGTACAAACCATTAAACACTATCCTATCACAGAAGAATATTATAAATTTATCAACACAATCAAGGTAGGCCTAACACTTTGGTTATATTCCTTTCATCCCCTATCCAATTTAGCTTCGTCTTCATTAACCCACACAGGTGCAGAAAATAGGTCGTAAAACTCCAGTTCATTTCATTACATTTTCAAATCAGCTATTCGAAAGTTTTCTTTTTGGGGTGTCGTTAATTTAACAGATTGAATTTAAAACAGAAGAGCAATAAAGGGAAATAATTCACCCTTAGATAAGAATTTAAGACAACTGTTGTTTTAACTTTCTTGACAATAATGATGATAATAATAACTGGTTGCGTGTCGCCACCGAGCAGCGCCACCTACACCTATCGAAATACAAATATACTATCCAGATTCAAATATGTCTCTTATAAACGTCTTCTTCACATCAGTAAGATGAGCATACGATTGACAAAAAAATAAAACGGCAAAATAACAAAAAAAAAAATGAATTCATTAGACACTTAGCTTATTTCATTATCGCTAAAAGATCTAAAAGTATAACCCATTTTTATTGTATTTCCAGATGTACCGTGTTGCTCAAATGGAGAAGATGTCCGCCTATTTAGATACTGTGATTGCTGATTTGAAAGGAAAAACGCAGATGTACACTGATAAATATTCACAACATATTTTAGGTGAGTGACGAGGGACATACCTCCATGATAATAATACATGTGTATGACTATAGCGAATTGTTCCGCTTTGATAATGTACACCATACTGAACGGATGATAACGGTCGTCAAAGCAGTAAACTAGATGTTACGTGATTCTTTATCTGACGAGTTTTAAGCATTTGGTTTCACATTTCCCTACCTAGATCTGGTATTATACTGCTCAAGTTTGAGCTATTTTAGACAAATGGAGCGTGGTTCGAAAAGCAAATATTCAAACTACTTTATCCTTTGAATTACAGTGTACTCCATTATATTGTCTTTCTAGAATTGAAATCGAAAATAGCTAATCATCACAGTGTACAAGCTTTGAAGAGAAAGATCAGTGAATTACAGCAGATGGATTACAGTCGATACATCGCAGACTTTACTAATACTGTAGGTGAACAGTTTGGCAAATTAAACTTACCAGAAAAATATAATGCAGCTATCACCAATGTCCATTCTATTATTAATGATAATCTAGACAGTATTATGAGAAGACAGGAGATGAAATATCTACATTCAGCTGGTAATGAAGTCTATCAACAGGTAAATTTGCTTGCTTTGTCTCTTCTTCTTATAGACAATTTTCACAAGGTATGTGAACTTCGAAGAGTTCGTAATGCATTGACATTATCAAGATGCACAATATAGACTACTTCGTCTGATATTAGACGAGCTGGTAATGCACTGACCTTGTGAAGATGCATAAGTACCCGCTGGTTCTACTACAGCAAAGCAAGCATCTCATATTGGACTACTACTCATTCCCATTAGCTTCATGGGTGGGATGGTTCGGAATAGGAACTATTCTTAGATATACCAGATGTATTCTGAATTTTCGAGTCGATATCTGGCTCACTAGAACGCCGAATACCCCCCCCCCCCCCTTTAAATTTGCCGAGACGCATCAATAGCTAGATGTGAAGCTACAGTTGTCTCGTGATTTCAGGGCAAATGGGCATACGGTTACTGGGGAGTAGAAGAAAACGTAAAAAACCAAATTCATCAAATCGTCGAACTGGTTAAAAAAATGATTAAAGAAGAATACACCAAATTCCAACAAATCATGGCTGGACCACGTGTTAATGTGACAGTGTACGATCCCGTCCGTGGTGAATTCCAAGCTGATGTCTACCTCATCCTCCCACTAGAAACCCTAGATGAACTTCCACGTGTTACTAATTATATCGATGAAGCAACCAATGTTATGACCAATTATCTCCCTTCTAAAGACACAGTTGTCCAGATGTACAATAATGTAAGTATATGTATACTTTGATATAAAATTACCTTACAAGGTAATGAAACACATATTGAAGAACATATTGAATAGGATAAAGATAGAATTTGCTTAAATGAGCAGCTGAGACAATGATATGTCCTTGACACCGCTGCTTTCTTGACAAATCAGGTGTCAAAATCCGATCAGGACTGGAGCATTTCTGTTTTTCTCACTATTTGCTCGATTTCCTTTTCAGTATTTCCCAGAATCCAACACCACCGATCCTGAGTTCAAACAAGAACTGAATGTAAGTACAAGTCTTACCTTATAGATAGACTTGGTCGTCCTAGGTGGGTTGGGGAAAAGATGGTTTTTTGTGAGCATCGAAACCCCGTGAATAAAACCATATGTATATTTAGTATTTTACTGGGCATGAATATCTCTGATCTCCTGGGAACATGAGCATTCCAGTTTAATTTTGTAACAAAAACCACTAGTACAGAATTGATCCAATAGCCATTTTTATTGTACACACACACACACACACATGGGGAATACAGGTTATGATTGGTGGAATATTTTAGTAGTAGTATGTCATGTGCAGTATAACTGTGGTAATTGATTCATAATGGTTATGGAACCAAATCATAATCCAAAGTTTCTATTCATATTTTCAGGAGTACATCACCTCTAAACCAAAAAGACGAATGAGAAATTTGAATCGTCGAAAGAATGTAAGAAACGCGAGAAACTAAAACTGTCTTATTTGTAAAATATTGAATTATGTTCATTTATTTATTAATTTTTAATTTTTAATTAAAATTGTGCTATTATCTGTTGTGATGGAATGTGGTCTACAAAAGGAGAGGGGTCGATTTTTCCCACCACTAACATTTGATTCAACTCTGCTACGGAGTTTCTGAACGCAGCACTAAGGAAAGTTCTCGTCATATTTATCAGGAATTTAACAAGTATGTCTGTCAACAAATATCTACATCAGCACAAAGTCCTTTTCAGAAACTTTGTATGTGTCTTTGATGAAGAGTCCTTATGAATAGATCTAATACTAACTGAGGATTGGACAGTTAGAAATATAGCCAAGATTGTTCATTACGAATTGGGTTTAATACATAACCAAATCAATAAAAGATAATAATAACTTTATATAAAAAATATATACATGAAAAAATGTAAACAGGATTTAAAAATTTTCAAAATGATGACAATAAGTTGGTCCTTCAATAGAATTGAGTAAAGTACATGCAGCTTGAACTGAGTTGGTCATTGGACCTGGACCACAACTAAATACTCCAAATCTCTCCACCTGCAATAAAAACATCACAATTGAAAAGAACGTTCCGCACAATGATACTTACACTTAGTTAAATTCAACAAGACCAGTGTCCAGCTGCTTAAGCTTGCATTCGAACAACTAGACACTTATTTCAAGTTTACATATTATGTTCACTGTTAAGAACAGTGGAGTTAGCATACTGAATTTTCGATTCTCAACTGAAGACTGATTTTTAATGTGGAAGCTCGCGCACACAGGGCCTAGATTATCGATTCTAGCGACAAGATGATTATCCGAGTCACCATATGGAACCTGCATCCTTGAAAAAAATACCCAATTTATGCTATATTACCGAAGAAATTTTCTGATGATATCCCTTTTCGTCTCACCGCTGTCTAAACATGTCTTCAGAATGTACCCATTATTATTTAATCCACATAAGAACTAATCGTCCCATCTCAAAACGCTTATTGCTTATTGCATCACTTTTGCATCCTAAAATGTCCTCAGAATATACCCTTATTACATAAAAGATTTAAGCCAACCCTACCTCTGGATATTCATGATGTAAACTGTGTAAAAAGTCTTCCATCTTTGGTCGACCAAAATGTGTAACGGCTCTGAGTCCAGTGAATAAACTTTTATTTTCCACTTTTTGGAAATTTCGTTCACAAATATACTAAAAATACAAAATAGTTTATAAGTTAAGAAGTTGAGGAAAGTAAGCAGTGGCGAGCTAAAGGGAGGGGGGGGGGGGGGGGATAGACCCGCCCCATCCTCCCCTCGCAGCGCCGAAAGCAAAAATCTCATAAGTAGGTTAGAGATTCGGGCAATATCTCGACCGCTCTCGGACGTAAACCTGGCTCCGCCACTGAAAGTAAGATAGATTAGAATGTAGTTCTATGAATGTGTGATAGGTAGAGCTATCACATGCATCGTACAAGACCTACCGTTACTTGGCAAGACTGACTTACCAACATGGTGGTTCTCAGATCATATTTCTGTGTGAATTGAGTGATAAAAATATGAACATTGACAATTTCTAGCACATCCTGCTCTTCTACATCTCTAATAATATCTATCAACCATTCAAAATGTTTCTGACTCCTCGTTATCCACACAAAATATACCTGAAACACAGTCATTAGACTATCACTATATAGAAGGGAAGTGCAGGAGCAACATATCTTTTGCCAGGGTAGGGAATTTCAACCCTAATGTTTCTTTCTTTCGCATTGCTCGGATATTAATATTGCTCTAATTTTTCCATGTAATGCATCTAAACACATATATGCTATGAATTGAAGAATTATCAGTTTTTAAGTTCAGAAGTTGTTAACACTGACAAAAGCAGTATCCTGATACGCATCATCAAATTTCCTTAATTTGGGTCTATTTCACAGAGTAAGTAAAAACAGAAGAATGTTTAAGAATGTATTAACCTCACCTTTTTACAGTTTATTTTTATTCCAGCTTTAGACTTAAAGGCAATATCTTTTAATATTGAAGCGAACGGAGTCACCCCGATTCCTCCACCAACTAGTACAGCAACATCAAAGGTGAACCAATCCTGATGACCTTCTCCAAATGGACCATCAACATATAACTGTAATATGGCGAAAGAAGAAACTGGGCTTAGTGAAAATGAAGATGAAATGAACAATATTCCAGCGATTGACTACTCTCCAATGAATGGAGTTGCTTCCTTTGTTCTGATATGCGCCTGACTGCCCAAAGAAGACATTGTTTTCTAGCGTTAAAGTAAGGGGCTTGTAAAGCATAGCAGTATTGGTCTATTATAATTCCTTATGTGAAAAGTTCATTAGTTGCTACCAATGTTTCGCCATCATGTTTTTTTTTTTTTATTTGGGGTTTCGTTTGGTGGTTCGGATCGTTCCTACTTGCTTTATTTATTCTAGGTCTTGGAATCGTTAACGCGTACAGTTTGTAGCAATGGGGTTTTGGTTATTATCTGTTTCTACGTATTTTTTCCAAGCGTATCTCTTTTTAAAAAAGTATATTATACATACCAATGGTAAAGGTTTGTTTCCAATGCTGTAAAACTCATATATCTTCCTCAGGTTCTTTGTCCATGGACCAACAGCTCTGATGTGAAGACTCAAATTTTCTTCATGAGGAGCGGACGTCAGAGTAAATGGGTGGTATTCTCCCTTGCCCAATTTTAGACAAGCAATCCGTACCCATTGGCCGGATCTATAGTCAAAGTTTGCAGGTCTTCTGAACACCAATTCTGTCACATCTGCAAAACAAGATAAGGGAGTACTATTTCAGAAACAAGTAGCGTTACCTTACTTTCGGTATCAGAGGGGGGTGCTCTTCAGTACTGTTATCTACATGCGGATGAATCAGACATTATTGAACACAGTTTAACGGTGTATCCGTTATTGTACATTCTTCTCCTTTGCTTTAGACAATTTTCTTTTGACAGGCTTGATACCCATAACAAGTATGAATAGAAAGTGTTGAGATGTCACTTACCAGAGGGTAAGATGGACACTTTCTTCACTCGGATTTCAACACGATTTCGACTCAAACTGGCAAGTTTATCAAACACAAATAATACCAATGGACCAAAGAGATAGTAGGGAAATATGGGGGCCTGAACCAGTACTCCTATCCCGTGTAATATAGTCAATGGATACACTGTTAAATATAAACTATGTGTTAACCAAAAAGCTGTGAAATGATTCCGTCTTGCGAACTGTGTAGCAAACACATACATTATGAATATCACAATTGTAACAACAACTCCAGCCAAACCTGGAAATAAAAGAACAAATCAGTCCTTATGCACAATTCAGTAACTACATGTTATAGAGTTTGATTCTTGACAAAGATGATGGCACAGCTTTGGCAACTAAACGTAATATATCTGGTCTCACCTCCTTATTTAATTAGGAGTGTATTTTGAGAGAGGGGGTAAAATAAAGAACACCATTGGACCTTTAGCATTATATGAATTTTCAAATCCATCACTTGAAGCTTGAGGAATATGCTAACTTACCTGTTATGGTTTGGTAGGCCCAATAATGGAATGTGGCTATTTCATGGGATCTGTAATAAAGAAAGGCAAAATCTATTTGAAGTCTACAGAGAACTTACATCCAACAAAAGACATGCAATGTGCTTTCGTTTGCCCTTTTGATACGCTTGTGTAATTATCTAGAACTTATATTCTCCATTGCTTCATCTCAAAGCAATTCCAAGCGATGTTACCTGGTTGGATTACATGTAAGGACATTAACGCCATGATATCAAGTTCTACATACCCTCTAAAGTACTCTCTGAAGAGACAACTAACATCTTGTGGAGGTTGGGTAACAACACAATACAGATTCACAGCGTGACCAAATATATGTACAACTGAAAATAATAATTTCCCAATACAGCATGCGTGTGTAGAAGAACACCACAAAGCATACGAAAAGATTTAAGGTCAAAAAGACAAATATTCGTTAAATGGTGAAAACAGTATCTTTATGATCCTTAGTAGTACCAACTGATGGATTTTAGCAAAATGGATTTGCAATAAAGGGAAAGAAAAATGATCACCTAAATATAATGAAACAGTATTATTATACAAATCTATAATAAAAATTGAAAGGGAAACACTTACTTGTGCCTATCATTGCAAGAACAGCAATGTATTTATGGAAAGCTACCGCTGAATCAAAAGGTATAAACCGATGAAGAACTGTCTCTCGGAGTAGTGTGATGGTGTTTCGACACATCGTGACTAACAGACTAACATAGGTAAACATAATCACACTGGCTGACCCACGAATCATTGCAGTCGTCCAGGCTCCAGATAGTCTCCGCAATCCGGCGTGTTCACGACCCTCAGCATAGTCTGAAAATGAAATTAGAAAGCTGCAATGTGGTGTCCCATCATACGGAATTGTCTTGTACAAGAAGCTAGCGGATTGTAGCGGTACAATATCTAGTGATCTATTGATGCAGTTCGATCAATATGAGATCAGAGAACAGACGCCAGTACATATTGCATTGTCAAGAAAAAGTCATCAAAATGAAATACAGTGTCCTTTAATATATTATATGAGTGATTGATGGTCAAACTAACAGATGAATATCATTATACTACTTACAATATGCCCTTTCAATAAAGATACCACACGTTACGAGAGTATATAATAACACCCAGAATATATGAAGTCGATAGATCTCTATATATTTAGTTATAGCATAGATCTTCTCTTGAATTCCTGTAGGTCCCTTCACTGGTGTCGCTTCACTCTCTAATGTGACTTTACTTCTTCTATTCTTTCTATTAATAACACCTTTCTCCCGTTTTCCTCTATAATGCACGTGTATTATATTAAATAGGCCATTTGGTGGATATGAATCCAGATCGTCATTGTAAATGTTGTACTTAGTTTTAAATAAACCCTTGTAAATCCTATTGACTAAAGAACAAAATACTTCTCAAACATAGAAAGCATAAATTGTGCATGGGTAATTGCTGAATATAAAATAGCCTAAGTCCTAAAAAATGAAGACCACAGTTATGAAACAAGAAAAACGTAAAGAATATCACACAGTGATGAAGATTTGGAACATACTTGTAGCTTTGGATCAATGTGTGTCTTCTATTCCTTATTCCTTGGTTGTCTTTCGCTTTACTTGTTACTGAAATATAATGTTACATGTTATGTTCCTTTGGGCAGAACCATGCCACTTTGGTGTCATGTACCTAATTCTGACCCATGTTAAATAAAGAGTTTATTTTCATCAAAAGCAATCATTCCCTCAAAAAAGATCATTCATAACCATTTTCGGAACTACGGTGGCCTAAGACGAGTGGGAATGAGAACCAACATGGCTTCTCTGGACGTTTAATTTCAACATCTGCTGAGCATAACTTCAAAGCTGTTATGGTAATCGTCTGAAGGAATTGTTATTACAACATAATGACAGTATCTTGCACACTCTGACTACAGAGACCGAACTCTCTAGTTGGAAAGGACCAGTTCAAGCGTTTCTCACCTTGATCTGCCAATGTTGCGGATTGAAATGTAGTTTTATATTCGTCTGATGCAAACACTTTTTTAAAATCGTCAAAGTTCATAGTGTCTCTGTTGTTTAAACCAGCTTGACTATACATGACTTCTATTAGTTCCTTCACCTTGTCATCGTTTAACTTGGCTTCAGACAGATCTAACAGAGACCTGAATTTAAAACAGATTTTGAAATACAAAGGAATTGGGATACATAAATTTGATAATCAATTAGAATTACCCAATTTGTGCTGATATTAATTTTTCAATGAATTTAGATGGAATTTTACGCCCTAATTTTCTGCATCTGATTTAAGCTTTCAGCAGCTTTGTTCTTGACTTCGTTAGAGCTTCTACCAATGTAATGAGAGTATTATGTTTTGCGGTTGGGATCGTTAGTACTTGTTTTTGACATATTAGGAACATAAGTGATAGAAAGCATTATTTCATTTTATTCATGTATTAATCTTTCAAATAAAATATATTTAATGATTACTTGATCATCTTCTCAAAGTCTCTTCTATTCAATATTCCTTTGCGTTTGATATCATATACATTAAACATCAACCTGGCCTTCTCTTCAGCAGAACCTGCGATAATAACATAATCTTTTCATCACCGGGAAACATTTGAAATCTTGGTAAATCTCATTCAGAGTCACTTTAAATCAGGGTTTTTTCAACCTTTTTCTTTCTATTACCCATCTCAGCATTCTTATCGATTGCAGTAAAAGAATTGTTGCAATAGATCTAATTGGTTAAGAATAAAAGCATCGACCAATTAAATTCAAAACGGAAATACTGCGTTGCTGTATGAAGTCCTCTAAAGTTTGAATCAACCATCCCTTATAATAGAGCTTGAACTACCATGAAAGAGATAAGCTTCACTAACCTCGTGCAAATATGGCAAACATGTCCAGAAATTCTCTAAAACACAGGAACCCATCCTTATCCTTATCAGCCAAGAGAAAAACATTCCTAACAAATATTGATGATGGTTGTAGACCTAGAGCTTCAGCAAACTCTGTACGTGTCAGTTTTATATTGATAACCTCACTAGCTTGTTCTGTATCAAAATCTGTTGTTGTTGGATCGTCATTTAGGGTCTGAAATTATTTTCATAATCAAATCTCCGAATTTCAGATTATTAAACTTGTCAGAAACAAATTTATTTAGGACATCTATCAGTTTATAAATATTTTTCCGAAAGAAAATTTGCTAAGGGATCAAGGAAGAGGAGCACCGAGCCAGAGCAAAACATGTAAGATAATTACTTGGTTGCTTAAAGTGGGGTCAAAGAAACTATTAAGAGGATCAGAGTAAGGTATAGGAACGATTAGAAAAATAGTTCAGAAAATGTCCTAAAGAAACGAGAAAAGCGGACTGTGGAAAAGTGGAAACCTCGATTTTTCATTTTCAAAATCAAGCTCAATAAAGAACTGTACCTGTAAACAGACAACTCTAAAGAAAGCATCGAGTATTTTCTGGCGATCGTCCCTGTTATTGGATGTGGTTAAAATAACTTTCTCGGCCTGCTCTGTTCTCGTGATCTCTATATTTAATTCCCCTCCAAACTTCTCCAGATCAACTACAAACTCTTGGCGTTCTGTTAAGCTTTCAAATCGTAGAATCTGAAAAATCAATGACATTATTTATCATAAATTATCATGATTAAAACTAAACACTCTACTGGGGAACAGCGTAGTCCATGTTTCGCCTCAGTTGAAACCTGACAATAGCATCAGAACGTGAGCTCCTATGACTCAAATAATAGAACCTTAAGCATGCTATTGAAAGCAAAATAAGACTGGCAAGGTTATATACATCTAAAAGGCCGACCAATCCTAAAGCGTCTTGTGCAAAGGTCTTGACTAAAGCAACTTGGCGCTGGTTGAAACCTGACAACTAAAAGTGAGCTACTTTGACGTTTTCTGTAATTGGGTGTTCTTGAATTGCTGAAAGTCTGGTTATTGATGTAGATGATAAAAACTCTTACCAAATCCACTTCGCCAGGAACCCTGACTAAAACCAGATTAAATTGTTTATCGTAGGACAATTTGATTTGTATCTTGGGCACTTGTCGTAAGTTGATGAACCTAACATTCTGACCACGACAATTCTTGACGTTTATCTTCTTCCTGTCTTGCTGAAACTCTACTTTCACTTTTCTGTTTTCTGATTTCATTCCCAGCCATTCTTCAGCTGAAAGGGATTATATTATGACCTAAGGTAAGTTTGAAAAGAAGAAAAAAACAATGAAACAGCAGAAGAAAAAGCCGAACAATGGATATGGGACACTAAGTAATACATGACCGTACAAGCAAAAACACCCCATTAACCAACAACAAAAAATCGTCCGAAACATGACATTAGTGGACTCCTCAAACATCAGATGTGTCAATATGTTGTTTTACTCAGTTTCGTGTTATACTCTTTGAGAACATTATTTGCCCAATAAATTACGTAGAACGCCATGCAAAATAACGTGAACTCACCGATGTAGCAATTTGCTGATTTCTGTTTCAATGTAATTTTCTTCGATTTTGCTTCAAATTTCTTTTTACGCATTCGAATCAGCAACATTAAAACCATGAAGGATCCTTGAATAAAAAACATTTTGTCGTTATACAAGACAGTACAAGGACAAATACAAATCCGGACCCCTTCCACATAATCTCACCATAAATTCCTCACTGTAGATATTCTTCGTAATTGCTTTTTTGTAGAGCGGGACACGAACAATGGACGATTACTGTGTGATAATCATAATTAATGTTTGCGATGCTGGTCATTTTGCATAACCGAAAAGCCAGTCTGTGGAAGTTGAAGTTGAAGATGATGGAAATCGAAAAAGAGTAATGGCGCAAGGTGAAAAGTTCAATGTCGTTACCTGGTATCACCAGAAATAAAGCTAGAAACGAAAGAGCAAACGACACTTCACTTCCACTAAAATAATCATACAGTTCTAGTTGGGAACATTGATCATATCGAGTATCATTGTTACTGTCGATATTAGGTGGGTCTCTACACTGACACGAATCGGGAGCATCTGAAACAATACAACCAGAATACAAATGTACCAAATCCAGATTAAGAACGGATATATAAAAAAATGTTTCTACTGAGGCTACCATGGCTTTAGCTGAACCAATTCGATATTTACGCCAACTAAAGTAAAAGCAAGTGCTATGTTTTTATACTTCTTACGACGGTAATAAGATGCCAACCCCAATCCTTAATGAACCAACTGCTGCACAATTCTAAAAAAAATTGAGGCTATTTCATTATCATTAATGGTGTCCAATAAAAACTTACCATTACAATTAAACGCATCCGGAAGTATCTGGCCAGGTGATGACGTCACATTTCGTAAAATATCAGAAAATGTTATTCTGTTGATATCAGCTATTTCTGTCGGTGTAAACAATCTAAAGAATATAAAACATATAATCATCACTGACTTTGAGATGTATCGGGCGATTTAAGGTATGTTATATAGTCGATTGTATTCCTTTTATTGTCTGTGATAGTTAGATAGGATGAGCTCCAAGTGCTTGAAATGTTGAAAATCTGAGCCTGAAATTTCCTATGCTACATAGCAATAATCATTATTCTTGGGTCAAATATAGGTACAGAAAGGAGTAGCGTAAAAACACACTTTGCTCAATGTTTAGTGGGGTGTGACAAATATAAGGACCAAGCATTTACTACTGAAAAAACATATTTCAAACGAGTTATCATCTGAGCAGTCGGAATCGGTTACTGGTTGATGTCAATATATTCAGATCGCTATGAACCTTACCCATTGTTTGGATTTTCGTACCAGAACCTATCACCATCTCTAATCCTTGTAAACTGATCAACTATAATAGCTCGAAATAGTTGCCCGGGGTTGTTATCTTGTATTTCCAGTAACCCGCCAGTATAAAGGTCAAGGTCATCTGTGGTACCAAATAAATCCACCAAGGCATTTATCATCTAAAATACAAATAGTAAAATTACCAAGACACCTATTTTATCATATAGATTATCAGTTTTGATTCAGTTGTACTTTAACAAGGCATTCTCGCGTCATGCTACAGAATCAATATTCACCTCACACCTTGCATATAAACTAGAATGAATTGGTGTTAAATCTCATAAATTGTCGAACCCTAACCCATGTGTTTATGTATAACGTAAGGCTGATTGGAAATGTTTTAAGATATGGTTTATTATCATTTGCGTTATTTCAGGTAAGCATTTTAGTTGGGAATATGCTAAGCCAGATAAAATAATAAAACCCCGTCTTTCACGAGTACGATGGGAAAAACACGTTAAAACACACAAAATATTACATTAAACCAGTGAAGTATTTATTTTACATACCGTAGAGTTACCGGAACTAAAATCAAACCACGACTCCAAGGGAGATAATCTTAGCGATGTTCTAACAGTATTATAGGATGGAAGACCATGATCTCGGCCTTGCTGAATTGTCACTGCTACTTGGTCTCTTCTTGAGAATTCCAGTGGCCCCGGATAATATTCTGTAAAAACAAAATATGGGTTCAGGAGAAAATGTTGTCAACAATTCCCTGAATGTGTTTGGCTGAATCAAAGGATGTTCCAGTGTTATAATTCAGAAGTGTTGTCTTACCATGTATCTTATAAATTTAATAAAAAAATTTATCATATCTAGGTTGTTGTAATGTTGATCAGCTTGTGATCTAGAACATGTTACATTTCCTCGTTCTGAGCTTTGGACATGGACTAGCTGATTGACAGGATCCCGGGTCTCCTCATTATCCCAGTCCACCTAGATGAAATGTGTACGGGTAGTACACTGACAAAAGCTTTTGAGGTTGACCTAGTTGTAACCCGTAGGTTTAGTTTACTGCAAGAGAGGTTTTTTGGAAGGAGCAGATGATAGACGGGTTCATTGTAGAAAAATTGGTTCTTTCGTTTATTCTTGTGATGGTTTTGCTAGATTAACAAGAATGTTATATACCTCTAATATCTGCTACAACATCTAAATCTTCCTTTTCTGCTCTTGTATAAACCATTCCTCTGATGATAGACTCGAAATTATTTTCAACCACGTCCTAAATTGTAACAATATTTCGACTAAGATGTTATCCAAAAGTATTCTTAGCAACAATAAGTTATTACATAGTTTCCGTAAATCCATCTCAGTAACTTTATATGAGTTTTTTTCCAACTTTTGTTTCTTTTTGGCTTATATTCAGTTCTTTTCTCAATTCAGAAATAGGTTTATCATTATAATATCGTCACTTGAATTGTCAGGTTAGCTTTAAAATGGATTTGGTCATATATCCCTAAGAAATCCAGATGAGATTTAAAGAACTTAACTGTACGTCCAGATTATTTACGTGTTTGATTTCCGTTTTCGTTAAATTCTATATTATCATATTATTTTGCTCAATGACAGACTATGAATAATAATTATTTGTATAACGCTATATTAGGAAGGCGATTTACCTGTGGATCCCAATAGGTGTTACATAATCTCACGGCTTCCACTTTTACTCCTTCATTTTGTCTATTTAATACTGTAGTTGGGCTGATTTGGCAAGTATCACTGAAAAATTAAAAAAAAACGATTTTTTTCATGCTATGTACATTGTTCATGTAACACATGCCAACCAGCCTCACTTACAGTTGCGGCCTGTTTCTGGAATGCTTGAGGAAACCGGATCGGAAGGTTCATGTTGCCACAAAAGATTCGTTCAAATAGTTGATATTTGACAGATGAAGTGATAGCAGCTGCTGAATACTGGCGAGTGATATCATGTTCACTCTTCTTGAACACTGATGTTACTTTGAGCCTGATTTTGTCAACTTGGCATCTGTTTCCAAGAGTTCACATAACAAATGATGCTTGTATGCCGAGTATGGCATATATCTTGTGTAATTGGCAATTCTGGCGAAGCTGTGGTCAGATTAAATCGATTGAATTAATTCACAACATACCTCAAGGTAAAGACGCCACCGGGAGTCATTGTGTGGCTTATAGCTTCCATCGCCACTTGGAATTCTTGAGTTGCTCCCGGATGAACGGAGTTCTGATATCCTGTGAAATAGAACGTCAACAATATCATGAAATATTCAGAAATATAAATTATTCATTCTTGCATACAATATGAATAATATCGTGTTTTAACTTTGCACTATTGTTGTTGTCAAACACGCACCCAAGTATCTAACGTTATTCGAGATCACTATCTACTTATTTTGCAGATCATCTGAAATCACAATTCATAATTATCTTAATTAAATTTGAACACACATAAAAAGTACGAAATTTCCAGTGTCCATTTAGGATTCTAAAAGTCAAATTACCTTTATATGGAGGAAGTGGTGAAGAATCATTGGTTGATAATAGAAACTTTAACCAATCATTAATCACTATTTTCTGAAATTAAACATCGATTCTGATATCATAATACTAATAACCTCTTTGTATACTCCCATCAACTTATTTTGATACATTTTTACGTGATTTTTTTATATGCTTTTCCTTTTAAACAATTGACATTTGAAACGATATTACTTTTATAATGGGCTACTGGCCAAAACAATTTTTTACTTAGTGGTTTTACTTGGAAAGTGCGTGCAATATGCGACTACACAACGAGTTGTTAAAAGAGAGGAAAAGGAAGACACAAAAAGTGAATTAGCGGCTCTTTGCTATACTGCGTCTGTTTTAAAAATTAAAGTGGTTCAATCTCCCCATGAGAAAAAAAATTATTGTGAAAATTTATATCTGCCAACAATTGAGTGAGGCCAAGCTTTATCAGATCCACCCACTATTTTCAGAACCATGTGTCATGAATATGAATGCATGACCACTGGCAATGAGGCTGATGAAAAATTAACCTTTTAATATATCTGACATTATCAAGTAAATGAGTTAAAACAATTGTCAATGTGAAGGAGATAACCCAATAATTTTGACAATATTACAAAATTGGCTTGGATACTTATATTGTGCTTGGTTGAGTACTTTTAAACATTAAACAGTTCATTTTATGTCCATGAGTTCAGCAAAAAACCGTTTCTTGCTCATTCGTCAAAGTATGTTTCCTTTAAAACCAGTGTTTTCATACCGTAAAGCTAAGTTGACTGTTGACTTACAAATGAAAACAATGTTATTTTAAGTTATTAACAATTAGCCAAGTACCTGGAAATGGGCTGTTACTCTTTTTCTAGCTTCGGTAAAAATCCGTTCATCTTTCCAACCGGTGTTAGCAGCGTGGAGCTGTTCTGCGACCTGATTATGCCATCGATACCATACAATTTGTAGAGACAGAAGATAAGGATTCATGTGACCCCTGGCATTACCAATTCCTAGATGTAAAGATTAGCCGGGCTACATTAACAGATACCACCTGAATACCTTGTACCAGAATACAATTGTATTCATTGTCTTAGAATAACCTTGCTTTGATAACAATGCCATTGGTAACATTTTCAACCAAACTGTGACAAGTTTGGAACGAAATTTAAAAGAAATATGCAAAATTTAACATATTTATCAACACTAAGTCATTTCAAATCAGTACCATTTTGAAGCTGGTGTTCTCAAGCACTTTAAAATAATTGTTAAAATCCAATAGTGGCCAATGAGAATGCGAATAATGGTTTCAAAGGTTTGCGGATGCAACCAGTAGTTTTAAAGCTAAAATTAATGTTTTCAACTCACGTACTGAAAAATCTGGTTGCTGGTTTCAACGTGTGATCACGTGGCACTGCTGCGTTAACCAATGGTAGTCGTATATCATTTTTGGCGGGAAAGCGTGTGGATGTTTGGTCACTGGCCTTCAGACGACCATTTCGAAATTCTCGGATCTGGTCAGTGAAAAACTTGGTTGTTCCATAGAGAAACCCTGCATCGAGAAACGATGTTACTCCATTTTGCTAAAAAATCAAATCAATAAAAATAAGAATATACTTCGAATTATCCAACAATTTATCATTTGACCGCCTTATTTCAGTTAAGTCTACCAAAAATCCGCGAAAGATTAATCCCAGGATGTATGGCCAAGAATAATAAGGTAAAAAAATTTTTCAATATGCTTTATCGGCGACTTAACAAGAAATTGAAGAAAAGCCGAGGCATTTTTTTAATTGATCACTTTTAAATTCCTTTTTCTATACCTGTTGGCGAGGACGATTCGGTGAATTGCCAGTTTTAGCATTATAACCACTTCTCTGATACGTCATTTCCGTTGCTAGGGCTCTGTATTTATGACCCTCTGGTATAGGAATATTAGTGTATTCTGGTGGACACCCAGGGTTACCGGTACTGATCATTTCATCGGCAACCAGCTGACCTGAAATATGTGATCTTATGTGATATTCTTGTGAATTGGTAATGAATGTCTATAACCGGGGAATGCAATTTGAACGAGGTACCATCTGTAACAGTAACAGGTTTTTCTATTAAAGTTATTGATAATAATGGTGAACATTATGTTAAAGTGCCCTCACATCATAGCGATTAGCAGTTGCGTATAACCTATATCGTTTTGCAGATAGATATAACCTATGTCGTTATGCACCATAACTCACCACCACGCAATTACACTTTATCATGTAATAATGATTCGTTTTGTAATCTACCGCTGATAAGTTTTGTGCACACATCAAAAATTTGAGATAAGATCAAAATATTCACTAAATTACTTCTTCTTTAAAATCCCTTTAACAAAGCGTTTTATTGGCTACATTATAATTGACGTCATCCAATGATTATATAAAACACAGTTTGAGAACTCTGCCATCTACCGACAAAACATCAGAACTAGTTACAACTATTACAAACTTCGTCTTATACCTTGACTGCAGTAGTAATTATTTCTGTATCACACAAGCTTGTAAATGCAGCGATTTCTTGATTAGATCGTACCCTATCGTAAACAGTCCATCAAAGCTCTCGATAGAATATCTATAAACAACAAGCCACAAGGTTTACAGTATTTCCGTCCAGATCTCTGATTGGCTATATCCAGGAACGTACAATCCAATCAAATAGCTGCAGTCCATCATACAAAAATAGTGGCTATTGCAGTCAAGGTATATGACGAAATTCGTAACAACTTGATATTGTGAGAAACCATAAGAACTATTTAGAGCTATTTGTTTAGACTGAAGTCACCCTTAAATTTGTCTCAAGTAGTTTGGTCTAACTATCCAAACAAACGAAATGAAACCTTAAGATTTGTGAAAAAATAAAAATTCCCTTTTCTTTTCACTCGTCAATAATAATAACAAAAAAAAAAAATGCTTGTTTATTCTTGTTGTGTTATAGTCAAAGAATATTTTATGAAACCGCCGGGTTGAAAAAATAAAAATATATCAATGAAACTTTCAATGTATATAATTATAATACAATATAATAAAAAGTTATACATATTCATGTTTGTATAAGCAATAATATCGATTATTATGACTGATTCACTATTTATTTTAATATATACCTTTGTCATGGTACAACAAGGAAACCGATACTGCAGGCTATACATAGATCAAAGAGATCGAACGATTGCTAACCCGGAAGTGAAATCCAATACTTGTGATAACTTCCTAAACGATCATTATACGGTTTTCGATCCAAACCTCATTATTATTATGTATGGGGTTCGCGGAGTTGCCATGCTACAAATTCATATCCTCAAAAATATTCGAGATTTTAAACAAACAAAACTGCGATGGAAGTATTTACGTTCCATGGTTCCACAGTTACCTACGAGAATTTTCATGCAAAATAGACAAAACGCAAATGACTTTGTCGATCTTTGATTATAATAGTCAATAGTAATTTTGGGGGGAGAATGGAACAAACGGAAGACAACATGCGAACTTACCGAAGAACACAAATAAGGCATTTCGTCCTGTTGTTGAAGCCTTTCCACTTGGTCCATTATGTATTGTATCGCTGATAACCATAGGATTCGGTCTTGAAACACCTGATGGTTCGTAAGCACCATCACTATAATCAGGGGGAGACAACCTTCGTAGTTGATTTCCTAAAAAATGGAATCAAGTTTTACGTGCTACTTTTCTGTTCCTCATTGCGATAATGACATCTTGCGGCCCGAAAAGTTTAATGGTTTTGTTCTCTATCTTTCAATGTTGTTAGCTGTTTGCAGCAAGATAATTGTAAGCTGCTACGAAAGCAGATATTATTTTGCCTTTGTTAAATGTTGGTAGCATTTAACATTTACCTCTGAAGGCAGAAAAGCGTCTTTATTATTGCTCATGACGATAACAGAGATACTACCTATCTTGCTATAAGCAGGTAAGATAAGTATAAACCAATCGAGTGGTTATCGCCAATAGAATCTAACCCTAAGGATTACTTCAGTCTTGTTTCCTAAGTGAATTGTACCCTGCTAACGATAGTCTTTTTCATCTTATAGAATATTTATACCATATTACAGGTCAAATTTGCATTTAACAAGTGCAAAAGGTAGCTGAAATTGAGCTCTAACGTATGAAGAAGCTAGTATTAAATTAAGTCTTAACTTATGTGAATTACCTGATATTCCCCAGTCCGGGTTGAATAAATTATTATAGTATCCGTTCAACGGATGTAATTCTATCTCGTCACTTCTTGTATAGGCTGCATTTACAACTGAAAAAAAAAAAAACGCATGACGTAGACATTTAAGACATCCGGGATTGAGAAAGGGGTTTGCAGGGTTGAACTTGTACAAGTTGCCCAATAGATAGCATAGCATTTAAAGGAAAATAAAAGTATAATTACGATATTTCTAATATTAATTTCAGCTTCCATATTACTTTTCTGAGAGCAAAAAGACATCTTTTTGCCTGTAAATGATTGAAACAAGACCCTCGGGGGATGTTTTTCGCCTACGAAATAAAAACACGAAAGTGGTCTCGAGTGTTGCTATGTGAAAATGATTAAGTATTTGTGTGTATAAAAGCTTAACTTGCTCAGTATAATGATATTCTATGGTTTACAATGTATTATGATTCATCTGTGATCGAATTGTATGTGTGTAAACTTGACAATAACCAATTCGTCCCACGCTCATTGAGGAGAAACTTCCGAAATCTTCGGCTTCTGACTTGGTTTGAAAGAGGAACCACGGCTAGAGTTAAAACGAACATAAACTGCACACATGCAAGCACTATAAATAGACACTGAAAAGTTATGTCAAATACTGTGTATTTTGTTAACTGCTTGACTCTTATCCCGTTTAAAAAAATACAGTATAGCTCTTCACAAACCGCTTAAATCTAAGGTGGTTGAATAGAGCAAGTAAGAAACTTTTCCTGGCGCCATGGTAGTTTTATTTGTGGTCAGAGTGGGGATATATTTCAAAAACGAAAGAAACACCCTGAAGAGTAACAGCTAAAGTTTACAATGACCTTTTTACCTGCTGGTCCCCAAAAAACCTCTTGGCATTGATCGTTCCTGAATTATCTGTACCCAATTACAGCTGGGTCGAATGAATTAATGGAAGATCAGTAGATGGCAATCAGTCAGAATATATGGAGTGTGTTAATTTCGCTGATAGTTCAAGCCTCTGATACTAGTGTACGTGTTTCATGTTTCACGAATTTCGCAGCATAATTGCATATCAAGTACCTTCCTTGTCCAATAACAATGTCTTTTGTTCATTGGTTGTAGTTTTATTAATTACGATTTAACAAAGAGTATGAGTCGTGTAATAAGTCATTTAATACATGGTATTTTAATCAGATTGTATGTGTGCATTGTGTTTTAAAAAGTAAGGTATTTACATGCATATTATGTAAAATATTTTCATTGTTAAAAAAGTGCTCAATACATTAATTGTGCAGCGATATAGTAAAAATAGGTCAGATATGTGAAGATCGCATAGCGTGAAACTCTGAGTAACAACATTAATAGGTCCTATTTTGATATTTGCACATATATGTGTAATTATACAAGTATATCCACTTCAAAATGCAAAAATTATAAAAACGTTTTATACTAATACGCCCAATACACATAATTAATTCTACATTTTATATGAAAATTATTGAAAATATGATCAGGCGTTTATATGTAAAAACCTTAAGATTTGACTCGCTCGCCGGTGTCTTAGTTTGGATGAGTATTAGACTGATATCAGATGCTTTTAAACAACAATATGAGTTGAAAGTAGATCTTTAACTGTTTCCAAACTTTGTAGAGGCATGACGATGAAATATATTTTGAACGTCCAAATTACAATATTTAAATCCAAAGTGAAACTTTATGATGTTTTTGTGTGTAGGTTAAACAATTTGAAACGTTCAGATGATTTAGTTGTCTACATTTTAGTCAACGCAGATTTTCAGAATGAAATTCACAACATCCGGTCTGCAATTGAACTCAAATTTAAGTAGGAAGTGACACTATCCTCTGTTTCCATGTCGTTAATAGCATGCAGATTTGACTGATTACAGTGATATAGAGACGCCCGCGACTAGAAGTCACTCATCATTTAGGTTTTAATGTATTCTTATTTCAACAAGTGCTAGGGATAGCTCAAAGGCATCTAAATCAGTTCTGCGAATAATTTAGTGTGAGCATACAAGATTTACAGGTTTATAGTGCCTAATACAGGGTTGCAAAAGCACGTCTGTAATAGCAGCCATCCATTTCCAATCCTTGCAGTTAAAGCAAAAAACACGTTTGATATAAGGCATATAACCTAAAAACGTATTTACTCTACCAGCTGATCGAGTTCAATTTCAGACATCTCACTCAATTTAAACGACTAACCCACTTTAATAGTATCAGTCAATTTGGTGACCTCCCAACTATAGAAACAGATGTGTGAAGATTAACTCAATGCGGCTTTGAATGAATAAATTATTCCTCAGAATAGCGTTTCAGCGTTCAGACCGTTAGAGCAATCATTTGAACCTCTCACACACCCAAATTTGTCATGACGTGAGGTTTTTTCTCAACTTAAAATAACTTGAAATAACTTTCTCTCCTACACTAGTTGGCAACACCCCTGATACCCCAGCCTCACTAGGATCCATAACACCCTAGGTTGGGAACCGGGGTGCTAGAAGCTCGGATCATATCCAAATTGTAGAATGGATTGTTTAATTATTTACCTACATTTTACCTTTCAAGCTGATGATCTAAATTATGCTATTGATTTTGTTACCTAAGCATACATTGCACCTGTCATGCATTAAACTAGAATTCGCGTTCTTATCTATAAAAACCATACAGTTATATACTTCATACGAAAATACCGTGTCCAAATAGCCAGACAAATAGTACATTGCTTAACACAATGACAGTTCTTGTATTTAATTAGCGATAGATACCCCATGTGATACCATGTTATACAGTATAATTAATATACTTACTGATGACAAATGCAATGATCCATGAGGCCATGATGTAAAAACAAATGGTACTACTCCTTTAACAATGATGCCATCCACAACATATCCGACATGCGATCTGTTCTTTCTTGATGTTATCGCACAATAACTGTTCCTCTGTGTTCAACTGTATTCAATGCACTTGTAAATAATAATAACGTCGTGACAAGGGTTGTATGGTAATACAAATATATATATATATAAATATTCAAACTTGAATCGTAACTATCTTATACCGGAAGAAAATTGTTCATGATTCAAGTAGAACGATATCTATTCTTATATTTAAAATCTAAGTAATAGGATATGTAAAATATAGTCCGATGAAATTCTAATAAAATGCATGCCACTTAAAGCATTAAAAATATTGCAGTGTAATACATGTATGTTAGGCCGTTGATCGATCTTCCGCACGATATCAATGTAATTTTCATCCACTTGGCGAAAATAATCAAGATTAATCAAATATCTGTATGCCGGATGGTTTAAAACTTCTATGAGTTCATGTTCTTTATCATAAACCAAATTATATTTTCAGAGGAAATATGTAAACACATTAGTTTTTTATTTAAATCACGTGACATACAAAATTCATTTTCATAGAATAAGAAAACGAAATCCGAATCCACAATGAAACTGCACGATTTCTAAATCCTGTAGTCCAACGAGTCCAGTATTTTGCAATGCCACTCGGCAGAGTTGTAGAATTGTATTGTTTCAGTAACAGCTCTGGTTCGGCGTGACGAGATCTTGGCACTCTTGTGATCGCACCATCCTATTACGAGCGAGCTAGTTATTTTTTGTCTACTCACGCTATTCTGTTAAAGGGAGGAAAAGAATCACACGCCTATGCACTATGTAATAGAATAAAGTTGTGTCCGAGCGGTTCATATCTTATATAAAGAAATAGAGATAATAAACATGTTTGTATATGTATATTGTTATAAATATAAACCGGAAAATGCTCATTGCTGATTCAAAACCGGAATATCCTGATTGTGTCGAGTGGGTGAAATTGGAGACGTTTAGCATAATTCTTATCTCTATCTTACCCGTATTACGCATGCCAGATATCAATTCCACTTCCGCAAAACCCTGTTACAGAAATTGGTAAATGGCTACACTTGTGTTTTCTTTTGATTCTAAGATATCAATGCTACATAAGTAAGTGACAGTTTTTTGAGGATTAAAGCTTATTTTGCACGATCTCCGTTGTCTTTTTTATAAGGAGGCACTAAATAGTTTGCAATATTCTTATGTCACTCATAGCAAGAGTAAGAAGGCGGGGTTGTGGTGGATATGAGAATCCCATTTCCAGATTTTAAATCTATAACACAAAAAGAAACTGTTAAAAATGAAATTAAAACTAAATATAGTGCGAAACGTCTCTAAAACCAGGATGTATTTTGGTTCCATAGAAATACTATGGGAAAGAAAGAATTGCTTTGTCATTTGAATTGGTGAATAAATCACAATATTATTGTTGTTTTCATTTTCATTGTCTTTACAATTACGGATATTAAATTTTCAGTTTCCACTCCGACTACCTGCTAATAATAGAGAAATATTTACTTAGAATAGTAAAATTAAACTTCCTGAGTAAGACATCGGGGTATAAAATTCTTTTAGGGTTTTGAAAAATCCAGGATATATTTTAGTTCAATAGACCAACGCCGATTGGCATTTATGGCTTATGGCATTCGTTTTCTAAATATCCAAGCGACGTATTTTGCCATAAACATATAAATGTTCTGAAACATGTTAAACGTCTGAAGGAAAAGCCTTGGATTATTTGGATCTCTACCAACAACATGTCTGATCGACAATGCAGGGATATCGTTCACTTTTTTGTCTGGATTACTGCTCGATATTGATTAAGAGGGTTTGAATATATTGTGTTCATGTAGTTCAACAGATTTGGCACAACGGCAGTCCTTAGTCAGATGGAGTCTAAGATATTGTCCATCGTTTCCATTAAATATTGATATTCCATGATACCAGCCGAGGCCTAATGATACAGTGTCGAGCTATTTTCTGTCTTACCAGCAAAGCTCCAAAGTAAATGAAAGAGCTTTTTCAACACTCATACACTTCTCTTGTCTTTATTCGCAACTGTGCGCGGACAAAGTCAGATTCGATGATATAAGCTACTATGGCAAGAAACTTCTTATATGAAATTCCAAAATGGCGGTTCTCTGAGTCAGAGAGCTTTTCTGACTTTAATAACGGTGTAGTGTAAATATGAGAATATGAAGAGATAAGCCATATGTTAGTGAAGACTAATTCCTGATACGATGGAATTCTCATCAGTACATTTCGTCTATAGACTTTCAGGTGAAATGGAACTATAGTCTAT